ACGGTTCTTGGAGCTCAGATCGAGTCACAAGCTCAAGCCCTTTATTGGGGCAAAATCTGTTTACTTTCACCTCTATTTAAGTAATATATTAACATACGAACCTCTGAAATAATATTATGATTTAACATTCAATATTAGTCCACATATTCTCTCACAAGGAGCAGGATTCTATAAGCCCACAAAAGAATGGGCCACTAAAAAAATCTGCTATGGTATAAAATATATTTGTGGTTTATATTTTGCTTGCAAAAAAATTGTTTCTCATCAGAAAACAGGACAGGACTGTTTTAAAATGGCCTGAGTCTGTTTCCCCGAGTTACCAAAAACAATATTCTTACAACACACACACATGATGTATCTTCTGTAGTGCGGAGTGGTTTCCATCTGCAGTCTGCGTCAGATCAGAGCTCTCTGAAGGTGCTGCAGTTCGTGGAGAAGCAGCTCGCTCAGTTCAACCCGTCACAGACGCTTAGCAGCAGCCGAGACTGTAAGAGACGAACACCATTCCAAATGCCACATGACCACTGCACGCAATCCACTGCGCATTTCACTGCACGCCATCCACTGCACGCAGTCCACTGCAAGCAAAATCACTGCAAGCAATCTACTGCACGCGAGCCACTGCATGATCCACAGCACCTGATCCACTGCACACACTCACTGGGCATGATCCCACTGCGCATTTCACTGTGGTTGATCCACTGCACGCACGCACTCCTCATAGGATGAGACCATCTCCTGTCTCCTCTTCTCTTTTTTCCTGCCTGAAGAGCTGCATGTTTGTCTCTGCATTCCTTGTGGTCTTTAACCCTTCGTTCTTCACTTTTTTAACATTCTTTCATTAAGTACTGTAAAATCTGCTTAATGTTCCTGGAATAAAATGAGGATAAGAGTTACAAGAACTATTTCAAATATCCTAATGTCAAATAATTGTGGTAAGAATTTACACAGAATAAAAAGAGGTTGATGCCTTTGCTGATTTCTGCTTATCTGCAGCCTGCAGTATGTCCGAGCTGAGTTCATTACATGATGCAGAAACGGACTTCCATCAAACCTATCGACAAGTACAAAAAAAGGCTCTGCCAGTCATCCCTGATCTTGATGACCCCACTGACCTCCGGACCACAGATTTATCTCCCATTCATGAGGGACGATACACACGACAGCCACAGCATAGAAATCAGGTGCCAGATGACAACCGCAGGTAATGGAAGGATGAGGTGTAGTAGATTCCTCTCTTCACTAGTCTGAATACACACCGATTAGTTTAATAGTTTTGACAGTTTTGAATTCATAAATCATTCTTTCCAGGTGGAACCCTCGCTCCGAGCACCTGCAGAGAAAGGCTTTCCTGGATCACGGACGGACCGGATCTCTGGATGAGCTCGAGGAGTTTGCGATGACATATATGCAGCGAGGACGTCACGGAGAGCTTGGAAACCGGGAGGATGACTACAGAACACACAAACGAGAGCGCGAGAGGGAAAGAGAGCGAGAACGGGAGCGCGAGAGGGAGAGAGAGCGAGAACGGGAGCTTGAGCGGGATCGGTACCCATTTTATTCTTCCAAACGTTACTCTCCAAAGGCCAGTCCAGCGAGACGCCTGCCCAGCCCTCCGCCACTGCCTGGGATAAGGCGGGACAATGATCAACCCCAACGGGATCCACGGGATCAGAGAGATTCCAGCAGTACCGGGAGCAGACGAGACTACGATGATGCCCTTCTCAACAGTTTATTGGAACGTAAAGCTAAAGCTGGGAAGAGTGTCTCTTCAAAGGCAGGCCGTACTGAAGAGGACTCGGAAACACCTTCCAAAAACAGCATCAAGAAAACCAGTGAGCGTCTCCACAGCAGGTCCTCGAGCAACCAGTCCCCTCGCCAGCGACCGGCAGAGGATAGTGAATCTCTGCCTCCCTACGCAGAGAAGGAGCTGGAGCTGGAGCGTTCCCGAGGAGCCGAGACCGGACAACAACGCTCCGGTCACGGGCAAAGGAGAGTGGTGAGTTACCTGTAGGACTCTGTGTGACTGAGTTACCTGTAGGACTCTGTGTGACTGAGTTACCTGTAGGACTCTGTGTGACTGAGTTACCTGTAGGACTCTGTGTGACTGAGTTACCTGTAGGACTCTGTGTGACTGAGTTACCTGTAGGACTATGTGTGACTGAGTTACCTGTAGGACTCTGTGTGACTGAGTTACCTGTAGGACTCTGTGTGACTGAGTTACCTGTAGGACTATGTGTGACTGAGTTACCTGTAGGACTATGTGTGACTGAGTTACCTATAGGACTCTGCGACTGAGTTACCTGTAGGACTCTGTGTGACTGAGTTACCTGTAGGACTCTGTGTGACTGAGTTACCTGTAGGACTCTGTGTGACTGAGTTACCTGTAGGACTCTGTGTGACTGAGTTACCTGTAGGACTCTGTGTGACTGAGTTACCTGTAGGACTCTGTGTGACTGAGTTACCTGTAGGACTCTGTGTGACTGAGTTACCTGTAGGACTCTGTGTGACTGAGTTACCTGTAGGACTCTGTGTGACTGAGTTACCTGTAGGACTCTGTGTGACTGAGTTACCTGTAGGACTCTGTGTGACTGAGTTACCTGTTGGACTCTGTGTGACTGAGTTGCCCGTAGGACTCTGTGTGACTGAGTTACCTGTAGGACTCTGTGTGACTGAGTTACCTGTTGGACTCTGTGTGACTGAGTTGCCCGTAGGACTCTGTGTGACTGAGTTACCTGTAGGACTCTGTGTGACTGAGTTGCCCGTAGGACTCTGTGTGACTGAGTTACCCGTAGGACTCTGTGTGACTGAGTTACCCGTAGGACTCTGTGTGACTGAGTTACCCGTAGGACTCTGTGTGACTGAGTTACCTGTAGGACTCTGTGTGACTGAGTTACCCGTAGGACTCTGTGTGACTGAGTTACCTATAGGACTCTGTGTGACTGAGTTACCTGTAGGACTCTGTGTGACTGAGTTCCCTGTAGGACTTTGTGTGACTGAGTTACCTGTAGGACTCTGTGTGACTGAGTTACCTGTAGGACTCTGTGTGACTGAGTTACCTGTAGGACTCTGTGTGACTGAGTTACCTGTAGGACTCTGTGTGACTGAGTTACCCGTAGGACTCTGTGTGACTGAGTTACCCGTAGGACTCTGTGTGACTGAGTTACCCGTAGGACTCTGTGTGACTGAGTTACCCGTAGGACTCTGTGTGACTGAGTTACCCGTAGGACTCTGTGTGACTGAGTTACCTGTAGGACTCTGTGTGACTGAGTTACCTGTAGGACTCTGTGTGACTGAGTTACCTGTAGGACTCTGTGTGACTGAGTTACCTGTAGGACTCTGTGTGACTGAGTTACCTGTAGGACTCTGTGTGACTGAGTTACCTGTAGGACTCTGTGTGACTGAGTTCCCTGTAGGACTTTGTGTGACTGAGTTACCTGTAGGACTCTGTGTGACTGAGTTACCTGTAGGACTCTGTGTGACTGAGTTACCTGTAGGACTCTGTGTGACTGAGTTACCTGTAGGACTCTGTGTGACTGAGTTACCCGTAGGACTCTGTGTGACTGAGTTACCTGTAGGACTCTGTGTGACTGAGTTACCCGTAGGACTCTGTGTGACTGAGTTACCCGTAGGACTCTGTGTGACTGAGTTACCCGTAGGACTCTGTGTGACTGAGTTACCCGTAGGACTCTGTGTGACTGAGTTACCCGTAGGACTCTGTGTGACTGAGTTACCCGTAGGACTCTGTGTGACTGAGTTACCCGTAGGACTCTGTGTGACTGAGTTCCCTGTAGGACTATGTGTGACTAATGTCCCACTGAGAGGGGAATAAAACCCTCGGATCTGTGGACCTGCGTTTGTCTCGCATGGAAACGCATGTGATGGTGCAGTGAAAGAAAAGCACCAAGGTTCCACAGAATCCAATGCCTTAGAAAGGCTTTTGAAAAAGTTTTCAGGGATTTGAAGTATGTAGTCCTAACACAATTGGTAACATTATTGGAAAAACTCCTTGAAAACAGTCATTAAAAGAGATAATCCAGAACATAGTAAATCCATTCACCAGAGAAGCACTCTATAAGATTTCCTCTTGCCAGTCATCATCCTTACCATTTATTTCATTCATATCTCTTGTAGACATTTTTTGATGAACAAAGTGCGCAGTTTGATTCCGACCTAGGTCTTTCGATCACGGTTCGATTTGTACCTCGATTTGACAACAGAAAATAACCTGTACACAGGTAACAAGAATGTCAAAAAAATCAATCATATCTCTGCCTGCTTGCTGCTTAATTCCTCCCCACAATGTGTTTGGATCACAGCTATAAACTCTAACACAACTAATGATAGAAACGGTCCCTCAAAGCACTAAGAAATGTTGAAAAAGAAATAAAAAAGGTCAAGGTATGACATTGATCAAATGTGTAAAACAAAAATTAAGACAATCCTGATGAAAGACAGTACAGGTGGTGTTTTTAGAGTCGGTGTGTGTGTCAGAGATCATCCCCTCTCGTCCTTCAGTTTGTAGAAACACAGTTACGCCTCGTCTCACTTCCACTGTACGAGGCTTTCTCTGACATCTATTCTTGCTTTTACAAACACAGACGCAGCTGTAGCGTTTTACTGCGTCTAACATCAAACTTCTCATCTTCATTAAATGAGATCCAAGAGTAAAATGTAGGCGATCAGACCCGCAGAAGCTCCATTTGTGTGCATAAATACAGATGGAAATCTTATTGAGTGCAACTTGGAGAATCATGTAGCATTTCATGTTTTGATTTATATTTTGTATTTCTTTTTCTGAGTAATGTAACATACATGTCTGGTCCTAATATTTCCAGAATAATCACTGACAGCGCTTGACCTGCGACTCACTCTAGACGAGACTAACCCGCTCTAACTGACCAGCTGAACCGGCTCGTTCGCTCACTCTCTGTCCTCTCTCTCTGACCAGAACACACTGCTGACCAGACACACGCTCGAGGTCTGATGCCCTCACACACTCACACACACGAGGACAAAACACTGCCGCGGAGAACCAGCCTGTGGAACCGAGGTTTGTGGGTCTGAAATATGTTTTACAGGCTCGTCTGAATAACTTCCCCTAAAATGGGTCATAGCTGTCATGGAGAGAATATACAGAGTTCATTCCTGAGGTACACGGACACTCACTGGACGAGACTCTTCCTGACCGTTCAAGTGCAAGAGTGTTGGATAAAAAAACATTTGCCACACAGTGAAATGATGATGTTTACATGAAGTGTTGCTGAACGTTATATATGAGGTTATCATATTGTTTACTTCACATATGTTCATAATCTCAGAAAGCTCTGTATGAATGGAATGTTACTTTGCTACATTCTGACAAAATGTATCAGTAAACACATTCATAACTGCTGTTTGCTAACACATGTTGTGTTGTTCTTGCACAAGATATTAATATCATTGCAGATCTTGTTATACTCGCGTTTTCTATCAGTATTAAGCGATTTTCACATTAAGAAATGTAATATTGTGTGTACTTTAGGGGATGATACTGACTTTCATGTAAAGCTGAGCAAAACTGTTTAAAGACACAGAGAACAAGATTACAGGAAGTCATTTGATTTCTGTGGTTCTGCAGATTTATCACCTAAACTCATCATGTGAGATAAGACTTTAATGTAATGACTGTAATGAGTTCATTGAAGCTCACGTCTGGATTATATATACTGATTTCTGAACCGCATAGCCTGCTAGTAATCTACTCATACTAGTTTGACCATATCCTTCTAAAGCAGAAACAGTAAGAGTAGTAGGGTTGGGTACCGAACTCGGTACTTTTAATGGCACAGACCGAGTTACGTCAGTACTACCGAGTACCGATTCACATTAAATCAATCGCTTTCATGCGCAGTTTAATCTACCACACACACTGAAGCACGCGTGCCGCTCGCGGGGCTCTTCAGCCTCGGCAGTCTCGCTACAGGACAACGTCAATGCATGAACTTCACTTCCAGAGCCGCTCTGAGACTCACTGAAGTTCATCAGCATTTTACAGTTTCTTTTAAGAAAAACTATCGCTATATCATTAACACACGGAAACTCAAAGGTCTTCACCACAACCCGTCAAAATAAAAGTTTGCTTCAACTTGATAACATATTACTGTTGTACAGTAAAATTTAGATATCTCAATTTAATAATAATGCTAACACTAATAATAATCAATTATCAAAAAAAAATGTTTTAAGGAATAATCACTTTTTCTTCTATATTGTAATTTTAACAGTATAAAGCTCAGTTGTGCCGCATGTTGTTTGACACAAAAGTTGAATCTCATATAAAAGATCAATTAAATTAATGTTTATGTCTTCATTTGATCACTAGAAAATTCACAACAAACAATTTGTGGAAAACCAAACATTTCTTAGAAATGTTTTATTACTTTTATTAATATTCAAGCATCACAGACAATGGCAGACAGAGACCAAGGCAGCTCTGGAATAATGTCAAGAACACTTCTATAAATGACTTAGTTTCTTTACAGTTATTGACGTAAACATGCCTAAAGTACAGAAAAAAGGTACCGTTGGGTACCGGCATCGGATTTCAGGGACCGGTAAAATGCGAACAGGACCCAACCCTGAGGAGGAGTGTGTGTTTCTGAATGGAGCAATAGTTCAGGATTCCCTCGACGTCACAGTGTAATGTGCAGCGGACACAGCCGGTTCCTTCAGCGAGAGCTATTGTTCTCCGAAGGGTCCGGTGTCGGCTGTGACGTCACCGGCTGATGACCTCATCAGATGCTGGCGTCACCGGCTGATGACCTCATCAGATGCTGCCAGGGACTCTCAGACTGACGGCTCTGTTCACCTGCATTACTCTACTATTCTTTATCTTTGAAATATGTGCTGTAAGTTAGTTGTATCAAACTAAAAATTATTTTATCCTAATACTTGAGAAAATCGTTAATATAATTACATTGAAGATCATTTTTATGCAACTTTGTTTACATTTTGTATGTTTTCATATGTTTACTGTCTTATGCCTAAATGTGTTTATTAGCTGTACGCAGACTCACATTATGTTTTACATCATCAATGACTTTCAGTAAAAACTTGACCAACACTTCTCCTAACACTCATTTTATTCAGTGTTTTGTTCTGTTTCTGTTGCGTCACATTATTGCTGCAGCATTACGACTCTTACACACGATGTGGTGTGTGTGTGTGTGTTTGTTTGTTTGTGTCGGTGTAAGTGTGTGTCATGAGGCTCTTTGTTCATTGTTAAGACAATAATGACACTCTCAAACACATCAGTTTAGAGATGGAAACATTACACTCACACACAAATCACACACACACACACTCACTCTCACTCACACACACACACACACACACACACACACACACACACCCACCCACCCACACTCACACACACACACACACACTCACTCACGCACTCACTCTCTCACACACACACTCACACCCACCCACCCACACTCACACACACACACTCACTCTCACTCACGCACTCATTCACACACACACACACACACACACACCCACCCACTCACAGATGCACGCACTCATTCACTCACACACACACACACACTCACTCACTCACACAGATGCATGCACTCATTCACACACACACACACACACTCACTCACTCACACACACATGCACGCAGTCATTCACACATACACACACACTCACACAGATGCTCGCAGTCGCACACACAAATGCTCACACAGATGCACGCACTCAGACACACACTCACAGTCACAACACAAACCCTCTGAATCTACTGCTAAAAAACTTTATTTATTAATGAGTCATTTCCACATGAGGATGTTCCTGAGTGGCATTAAAGTGAGCTTTTGTCTAATTCAGCTCCTACTGGGGACAGTTTTGTCCCTAAACACACACACACACACTTAAGGATGGGGATCTCACACGCGTCCACAGCCTCTCAGCCGGACAGATGGTGTGTGTGTGTGTGTGTGTGTGTGTTCTCCAGTTTTCCCTGATGTGATCTCTCTCTCTGTTGATGAGAGGAGTGTAATGTCAGAGTGTCTGGATCTGTGAAGGTCCACTAGATCATCATCATCAGCAGAACACAGGCGTCATGAGGGAACAGTTCAACTTTGACCTTTGCAGGTCGACTGCAGCTCATCGCAATCGCTCTGCCAACAAAACCTTTAACTGTCATATTTACAAAACATTTCCAGTTGAAAAAAAAATATAGGCCTACAAGACCGAGACTCTGACGTCATCTGCTGGTGACTCGAGGAACTTCATCCACTCCACTGACTCTGATCAGGAAACACATACTGACACCATCAACAAGCAAGCAACTAGCTAATATAATAGCGTTTGTATATTATGTTGATATTAACATACTATTTATTCAGATACTTTCACTCGGTGTTGAGTGAGTGAACGAGTGCAAAAGCCCTTTCCCTAAACTTCCCCAGATCGGGTCCTCTCGGGATCATGTCAGTCTCAGAAACATGATTCATAAACGAACCTCTGCGAGTGAAATGAAGCCCTCCTCCTGCATCTGTGACTGCGAGACTTCATCCACTGCTGGGCGGTTGGAAAAACAAGTGATTTTAGTGTTCATTATGTAATGTTTATTTTCTTGTCCATTTTAAGGAGCAGAGCTGCTAACCTGTCTCAGATCATTGCAGACTGTGACATTCAAAAGTAACATGTCCTTCTCGAGGCGCATTACAGTGAGGAAACTTCGTCCGATGAATATTTGCATGAAGAGGTTTCATAAATTCGGAACCGCATATAGTATAGGCTCTACTACTCGTATTTCCCACATATTTTTATTGCAGACATAGTAATAGTAGTATGCAGTTCCGAATGTTTATTTGGCAGTTGCGCCGGCTGGTGTTACCTGTGCGCACGCGCATATGACGCACCTGTGTTTGGGGTGGAGCGATGATGATGATGATGAGGGGGAGGAAGAGCAGAGCACAGGAATCACAAGCCGGTCTCCGAGAGGAACACAACTACAAGTTAAAGCGGCTTTTGGTATAAAATGCGTGTTTGATCCGTGACTCTAATCGCATTCACACTCGCGCTGGTTTCGGTTCGCGTTTACTGGAGTTTCATCAGAACATCATGATGATCGTGTCTCTGCTGCTGCTGAGTGTCCTGAGCTCAGGTGAGACACACACACACACATCTGCTCATTTACAATGCAGAATAATACGGTGACATTGTGAAGGTTGGTCAGAGGAACAGGTAACTGTGTTTCACCTGTTGAGCTCGCCCGTTTCGGTCACGTGATCACTGTTGTTGACATCGATCCAATTAAAATGTTCAAACATTGAAAGAATGACGGGATGTAAATGTTTAAAACAACTTAAAGCACTCAGGAATAAGAACGTATGGAATCTAGTGAAAATAAAAATGAAAATATAAATAAATAAACAATTAAACGCAGCGCTCAGGTGATCATGAATGTTTTTTGAAATCCAAAAGATTAAAAGAAATGAAGTTTTCACCAATATTTTGCTGAATATTTGTCTTAACTAACACTGAAACTCACTTTGTTTGAAACCAGTGAAGAATTTCCTGCTCTTTGTGTCATTTCCAGTTTTACAGGTTTGGCAGCTTGTGTATTTCTGTCTGTTTATCTCTCTCTCTCTCTCTCTCTCTCTCTCTCTCTCTCTCTCTCTCTCTCTCTCTCTCTCTCTCACACACTTTCTCTTTAAAAGACATTTAATGTTATTAATATTAATGTTACACTTATTATTATTATTGATCTGACTGCATTGACACTATTGGTTAAGAACGAAACTTGATCTGAATAATGACCCTTCTGTAGAATCTGAATGTGTCTCATATTTGATTGCTTCATTGGTTCGGCTATTCTCCTGTTTATCACTGTGACGCTGCTCTGGCTCGACCTGTCCCGTATAAAGCAGACGTTCTCTTCCTCTCTTCAGGGATTCTGAGTATCCAGGTCACTCTCTCTGAGTTGGAGAGGCGCACGACTCTCTTT